TGTGGACAGGTGGACCAGAACACATGTGGGCAGGTGGACCAGAACACATGTGGGCAGGTGGACCAGAACACATGTGAGCAGGTGGACCAAAACATCTGTGGACAGGTGGACCAGAACACCTGTGGGCAGGTGGACCAGAACACATGTAGACAGGTGGACCAGAACACATGTGGGCAGGTGGACCAGAACACATGTGAGCAGGTGGACCAGAACATCTGTGGACAAGTGGACCAGAACACATGTGGGCAGGTGGACCAGAACATCTGTGGACAGGTGGACCAGAACACGTGGGCAGGTGGACCAGAACACATGTGGACAAGTGCGTCAGAACACATGTGGACAGGTGGACCAGAACATCTGTGGACAGGTGGACCAGAACACATGTGGACAGGTGGACCAGAACATCTGTGGACAGGTGGACCAGAACATCTGTGGACAGGTGGACCAGAACACATGGGCAGGTGTACCAGAACATCTGTGGACAGGTGGACCAGAACACATGTGGACAGGTGGACCAGAACACATGTGGACAGGTGGACTAGAACACTTGTGAACAGGTGGACTAGAACACCTGTGAACAGGTGGACCAGAACACATGTGAGCAGGTGGACCAGAACATCTGTGGACAGGTGGACCAGAACATCTGTGGACAGGTGGACCAGAACACATGTGGGCAGGTGGACCAGAACACATGTGAGCAGGTGGACTAGAACACCTGTGAACAGGTGGACCAGAACACATGTGGACAGGTGGACTAGAACACCTGTGAACAGGTGGACCAGAACACATGTGGACAGGTGGACTAGAACACCTGTGAACAGGTGGACCAGAACACATGCGGGCAGGTGGACCAGAACATCTGTGGACAGGTGTAGAAGTCCCAGAGGTCCAGAATCCGCTGACCGCAGCAGGTTGGGAATCAAACCCCCTCCTTTTTGTGAAGGCGAGCTTCAACAGTTCTTAAAGTAACTCAGTTAAATGTAAAAGCCATAACTTTAGTTGATTTTCATTTAAAAATGTTACTTTTGTCAGTTATTTTAGTGACTTTTATATTTTTCTTTATTTAACAAAATTCCATGAATTTCACCATTAAAAATGCAAAAATATGAAACTGCCATAACAGAAAAGTGCTCATCCTGTGAAGTTAAACAGAAAAGAGACCAAGTTAAAGACTAAGATGAAGGAGATGATGGTGGACTTCAGGAAACAGCGTGGAGGTCAGCACTCCACCTTCTACATAAACAGCGCTGAGGTGGAGCAGGTCAGCAGCTTCAAGTTCCTCAGCGTTCACGTCACTGAGGATCTGTTCTGGACTTTACTGTGGTCAAGAAAGCCCGTCAAAGACTCTACTTCCTAAGAAGTTTGGTACAAACACCAGCATCCTCACAAACATTTATAGGTGCACCATGGAGAGGCTGCCGACAGGCTGCATCACAGGGTGGTACAGGAACTGCACCAGTCAGAAAGCTCTACAGAGGGTGGTGCAAACAGCAGAGGACATCACTGGTAGCAGTCTCTGCACCACCCAGGACATCTACCACAGCCGATGTCTGCGTAAAGCAGCATCATGAAGGACCACACCCACCCAGCACAAGGACTGTTCCATCTACTCTGCCATCGTGTACATGAACACTCAAAGACAGTTACTATCCACAAACTGTCAGATTAGTGAACTCTTGATAAATAACACTGAACAAGTGGCAACAACATCCTGATGCATGCTCAATAATCCAGGTAGAAACATCTAAAAAAGTTAAATCTGGTCCTCTGGACATTCAAAAATCAAAATTCATTGTTTTTTTGACTGTCCAGAGGACCAGATTTAACGTTTTTAGAACTGGCAATAACATCGCACCAACTAATCTGATCAATATTTATTGCTGCTGCACTATGTGGCTGTACCGTGTACGTCACTACCTGACCATCATGATTCATCTCAGTGTTCCTCACTACCTGTCACACAACCTGTGCAGTTTATGTTAATGTGCAATATATATATCACGTGCATTTAAGCTTAAAGTGTTACCTTGAAATACTTAACGGTGCAACTACGATGAATTTGTATCAATTCATCGTAGTTGCACCGTTTTCTTTTGGACCTTGTAAATACCGGTGTATTTCTTTTTCACTTTTTGGTATTTTATTCTGTGCCCTTACTGAATGCTTTAGATTAGCATTCCTTGTCTGTTTTTTTGTTTGAGCGAGTCGAATCGGTTCTCCTCACCCTGAACGTTTTATTGCATATGACAAATAAACAACATAACTAAACCAAACGGACTTTGTTTCTTTTCTTCTCACCAACTCGATTGATTTACTCCTGATGTGGGCAGCTGCAGCTAGTTATAGTGTTTGCACACATGTACGCTCACCTTGTCCTGGTTTTGAACGGTTTGTTACGTTTCTGTTCTAATCTTTTACATAAATAAGACTCGGGTCGTGTGCAGCCAGAGATTTGAGCCCAGTCGTCAGCAAGGCAAACATTTCAGTTCAAGCTCAGTCTTCCATATTTGTGTTCACACGAGTGTCAGGAACGTTGTTCGTGCATTGTCTCTCTTCTTTTCTCCCTCGAGCTCCATCACTCCACTCCTCCCTTCTTCAGTGGGAACGGTGACACGGTTGCCGTGGCAGCAGGGATAAACAAACAGTACGGATACCATGGAATACTGCTAAATATTTACAACCGGATTGGACTCGCACACAAAGGCTTCACCACGTGAACACGCAGACACGTTTTGTGTCTCAAAATCCACGCCGGTTGTTTTGGTCCTTGGCGAACGCACCGTAGCAACCGCTCGGTTACATCACCGCCTGCAGGTCCCGCTTTTTTCAAAGAGCCGAACAGACGAGCTGCTCTAGTCTCTTTTGATTCAACAATCAAAAGCAGCTCGCCTCGGACCGCCCCTGCTCGGACACACAGACGTTTTTCATATCAGACAGACTGCTGGAAACGTTTGGTGGCGACTTGAACACATTCAGCTGATATCAGGCAGGAGAGCTCGTCTAACATTTGATTAAAGCGACTTCCTCTTGGTGGCAAATCAAAGCTGCCGGCCAAGGGACCGGATTCAAATCCAGAGGTCGACAAGCGCCGACTGATAAGATTGATCAGATTTATGATCTGCTGACTGGAGTAATGATCCAGGACAGATTAACTTTACAAGTTCCATCATGCAGAACTTCACTGCAACAAGCCGTCAATCAAACCATCAGGAACAGTTTGGATCGTTGATAAGAGGCGGGAAAAAAACCTGAATGGGTTTTCCGTTTCTTTTTGCTCGCCTCTGAAATGAGCTGAAGTTATTTTTGTCTTGTCCGAGGCAGCGCAGCGTGACGGATCCTGGCGAGTGCAGGGAGACATTCTATCCATGACCAGGTGCAGTGGTGGAGCCAGGGGGTGGCCATCGGTGGCCTTGGCCTCCACAGTTTATTCTTCGGCCACCCCAATCATTTGAGGAAATTATACTTTTAAGCTAAATAAAAACTGAGAACACCCAGGGGCTTGGTAAAAGTTTCCACAAATGACTGGGGTGGTTGGTTTATATATACATATGGTGGTGGCCATCTTGGATTTTGAGGTGGCAACCCAATTTTTGATAGTTAGGCCTACATGTGGCCACACACCAAAATGGACGTTGATACTTCACTATATTTTCAAATTATGCTCAAAAGAAGGATGGACAAACCGAGGGTATTTCCAATTCCCCCTCTTCGCTCTGCGACGGGGGACAAACACCACATTGACGATACATCATTTATCCATCCATCCATTATCTTTTACCGGCTTCTTCCTTTTCAGGTCAATGGGGTCACTGGTGTTCATGTCCAGCAGTCACTGTGCGAGAGGCGGGGGACACCCTGGACAGGTCTCCAGTCCATCACAGGGACACATGGAGACAAACGAGACAAACAACCATTCACTCTCTCACTCACCTAGAGACAATTACCAATCAGCAAAACTGGTCCCAATCTGCCTATCTTCATTTCAAAAAGGGCACTCCAGTAGAATGAATCATCAATGAGGTGGAGGCTGTTCGGGTGGGTACAAAGTGGGCCGAGGTGGGGAACAACATATTGTGCGCACAGACTAGAATACAGATTTAGAAGTTGCCGGTGGCAAACACTGCAGCACTAGACTGCAACAGAAAAGAGCCCATTTTCTCACAATGTTGAGTCAACAACTGGTCTCCAGCTGTTGCAGCTCATTGAGAAACTGGCTTAAATGGTGTGCTTTGGCTGAGGGAAGATCAAGTTTAGTTCTCCAGGGCCACTATCCTGCATGTTTAGAGGTTTGTTTAGAGGTTTCCCTGCTCCAACCCACCTGGGTCAAAGGTTAAATTAGGTTTAGATCAGGTGTAATAAAATATCTTGGCAGACATTCCAAGTTTCTCTCTGCTATGGCAGGCTGTCACCAAGTCCTAATCCTTTAAGGTCTGATGTCTTGTTGCTCACCCCCTGAACTTACACTTTAACAAACCCTGCGCTCCATGCGTCTTTACCTAAACAGGAAATATTTATCAGGTCTAATAAATCTGTTCTTTTCTTTTTGTGTCAGATAAAGACACTGTTTGCTGTAGATTTGGGCAACAACTTGATATTAGTAAAGTCCGACTCACCATGCCGTGGTTCAGCCACTGTGGGATGAAGTTATCCAGGAGTTTTGGGTAGACCAGTTCTCTGTCGTACAGGTAGAGGCTCCAGAAGGTAAAAACTACAAACTGGAGGTGGGGGAGAAGTGACACAGAGTTAACCACTGGGAGGCAAAGGCTCAAAAATCCAAAGGGATGAGCTAAACAATAAAAGGTCAACATCTTTCTGGGCATTAACTTTACCATACCACAGCACTTTATTTATAAAGCAGCAACAAGGCCAACCAAAGTGCTGTACAACAAAACAAAGAAGCAACGGACACAGGATGAAATGTAGATCCACAGACGTAAAGATAAGAACTAAATGACTAACGTTATAGAATACAGACGAGTTAAAATCAACTCACACAGTGTCAAAAGTCAGAGAATAAAAGTGAGTTTTTAAACGAGACTTAAAAACAGTGAGGGGGGAGCCTGCCTGACATGCAGCGGTAACTCATTCCACAGTTTTGGACCTGCAACAGAGAAGGTTCCATCACCTCTGAGCTTAAAACGAGTTCCTGGAACCAATAAAAGCATCTGGTCTGCTGACCTCAAGAGAGCGCTGTGGGACATATGGCTGCAGCAGATCAGTGAGATAAGAGGGAACAGAACTGTTCAGAGATTTAAAACATACAGAAGGATTTTTAAATGAATTTGAAACTGAACTAGGAGCCAGTGATGGGAGGCCAGAACTGGAGAGATGTGCTCTCTTTTGCCTGTACCAGTTACAAATCAGGCTGCAGCATTTTGAACCAGTTGTAATCGTGCAATGGAGGTCTGACAGATTCCAAAAAGAAGTGCATTGCAGTAATCAAGCCTGGATGTTATGAAAGCATGTTTTACTGTCTCAAGGTTACTTTTAGACAGTATGGGCTTCAATTTAGAGTCGCCTCAACTGAAACAAACAAAACAAAACAGGATTTAACAAACATGTTGACTGTTCAGTTTCATGGAAGGGTTCCTGTTCACTCCCAGATTAGTGACAACTTATTTCTCTAACGGGGCTACAGAGGGAAAGTCGATACAGTGGTTCTTGCTTGTGCCGTTAGGAGGAGACAACATGATTTCTGTTTTCTTCTCATTAAAGTTTAGGAAATTTAAAGCCATCCAGTCCCTGATGTCAATCAGGGAGTCAAGAAGAGGTTGGACAGAACATGCCCCAGTGTGCTTCAGAGGGAAGTAAAGTTGACAATCATCTGCGTTTATCTTTAGACATTCACAAACGTTAGTGACAAAATGTTCAATGTCCCTTTGCATCTTAGGCCAAAATAAACGATCCTTAATAAGATGGAGTCTCCGCTCTGAGCCCATGTGACCCATTTGTTTATGCAATTCATCTAACACTGGAGGGTGGTAGAGTGAGGGAAGAACTAGTTGGTTTTTGTGTTGTTTTTCTAAACATTTCCATCCTCCGTGATTTTTTATTTGCTCCATTCTCTGGTCAATGTTTTAAACTCATTTAAAAACTGAAACGGTATGCCGTGTTTACAAAAAAATGGCACCTAGGGCAGTATATATAAAGAAAACAGAAGGGGACTGAGAAAGGACCCCTGCGGTACACCCACCAAAGAGCTGCTGATGAAATAAAACCCTTGATGTTGCCACAAAAGGTTTTGTTGGAGTGGTAGGACCTAAAGGGCCGACCCTGAAAAATGTTTTTAATGTGATCGTTTCCCGTTAGTCATTGAGTGAGGAGTTAAAAATGATTCATCAGTTTTTATTTTATTAGCGACAAAACACAAACACGCACTTCCTCTGTAGTATTAAGGTCAACCATCAGTCATGGCTGTCATTTTAAAAGTTATTTTTAGTAAAAAGACACAAATGACACTGACGATCACTGAAGGAAAAACCTAAAATGTTGAAACTTTTTGATCCTTGAACTTTTTACGTATACCAAAAAAATAATAATAATAAAATCAAATTACTGAATATCAAAGTACTATTACTTCCCCAAACATCAATTACTCCAGTTCTTTTTCTGATATTTTCAGAGAAGAACAATCAAAGGTTTGTTTTTATTTTTACTCTCTCCTTGAGCTGTTGGTGCTCAGAACACGTGTTGGGGATGACTCTCAGCTACTACCACACCAAACCTTAGACATCTTAACGACGGCTGAGCTACGACCAGTGTTGTGTTTGTAATGTCGCCCAGCTGTGGCAGCCATCTTGAATCAGGTTGGATCGCTGTTGACGTACATCCAATGATTACTTTGAGTTGTATTCAAACTCATCCAGTGGTTTCTGAGATATTTTGCTAACAGACAAACACACAAAAAGGCATTTACACGACTGCTTGACTTTCGTGGTGGACAGCGGTAAACTATTTGAATCACGGTTCATGAGGCTGAAATGTTGCATAAAGTTAAAAATGAGTCATTTTGATGTTCTGCGACGATCTGTGCTAAGTTTTTAACAAAGGTGTGCGTGGGGGGGGGGGGGTCATCAGGACCCCTCTGAGGTGAGTCCACCTGTCACCGCAGCTTTTTGTCTCCTGCACCCTGAACGCACCTCGAGCCGACCACCTCGGGGGTCTCATGTCTCCCCCACACGTTGGACGGAGGCCACGTTTGTGTTCTACACAACAGGATGGAATTACCTGCCGCTCACCTGTGTTCCAGTTCCAGGCCTCTGCACCCACCTAACCCCGCCCCCCCACCCATTGTTCCCCGACCGGCAGCTTCTCTGCTTTCATCAGGCTGCTGGAGGCAGAGAACTCACACACATTTCCACAGTGGAATCCTGCACCGTGAAGTTCCCGTGCACGCTCACCTGCGCACGTCTGTATGTCCTAAGTATGGCTCCGCCCACATCTGCAGGCGCACACTGTCCTCCTGTATCGGTCAGGGTTTCAGACCCGAGCGGCGGTGATAATCAGATCCTTTGTGTCGTGTAAACTGAACTGTGCACCTGACTCACAGGTACAGGTATTTCTACAGGTGTGTGTGCGCGTGCACGTGTGTGTGTCAGAAAAGAGACCAACAGGGTGTGTTTCTGAGCCAGAAGCATCGCAGCACTCTGACTGACAGAGTTAAAACGGACTGTTCGGTGTCTGCAGGACAGAACCAGCTGGAATATGAACAGATCTTTAGAACTGTCTGTTGGACTACAACGGCCTGAAGAGAAAGCTAAATTGTTAGCAAAATATCTCGTGTCCCACAGGTCGGATTTTATTGAAACACTGAAGAACAATCACTGGATGATCATCAACAACTCAATACCTTTTGGAGTGAACCCGATTCAAGATGGCTGCCAGAGTTAACACAACAATGGCTCCGACTCCATCAGGTTTACAGATAATGAGCTGGAGTTTGGCGTGTTCGTGGCTGATTGCTCTGAGTGCGAACATCAAGCATGACATCAAGGTTTAAACGGCTCCATCATCTCCAACATAAAATGAGCTGAACGTTTTGGCACAAAAGGAGGCGGGTGATATGCATTCTTTGAGAGAATGATAGTTTTTAAATATTATTGGAGCTGAACTTTTCTCCATCACTCCATCCTGCCTGGACTCTCTTCTTCACCTCTTCACCACACTCCCCATGTTCCTGGACAGTGGACCCCGAGTCCTTGAAGTCCTGCACCTTTGTGACCTCTGCTCCTCGTAGCCTCACTGTTCCACCTCCTCCCTCTCATCCACACACATGGACTCTGTCTTACTACGGCTGATTTTCAGTCCTCTTCTTTCAAGTGCATACCTCCACCTCTCCAAGTTCTCTTCCACCTGTTCCCACTTTTACTGGGTAAAACCCAAAATAAATGCAAAGTGTTTATTTGAACCAATCCAGCGTGTGATCTTTGTTAGTCCTGCAGCAAGACCAAGAGAACTTCCTTCAGCCCTTCACAATAAGAGCTTCAAATGTAAACATTGACCTCACATCATCTAAAGCTTTTAAACATTTCTTCTTCTTCTCAGGTTGAACTCATTAAAACTGTGTCCTGTGTCCTCTAGGCTAGAGGTGTCCAATCCTGGTCTTTGGGACAATTTGCAGCGTGTTTAACTTGTTCCCTGCACTGCAAGCATAATGGACAGGGTTTTGATGGGGCTCCCACATAAACGCAAATCAGAAGATGAAGCATCGCCACATATGCTTCCAAGCCAGAGAGTAGAAAACATGACGAAGCACATCTTGCCTTTGGCTTCACCTGCACACCTGAGGAGAGGCCGCGGCATGTCGTCTGTCTTAAAGTGCTAGCTTGTGACAGATTGAAGCCTAACAAGCTAAGACGCTGCTCGGAGACAAAGCATCCAGAGCACAAAGACAACCAGTTGACTTTCAGACAAAACATCATCAACTGCCGTGCTCAGCAGGGTCTCTGCTAAAGCTGCATCCATGCCGGCAGCTCAGCTCATATAAAGCTGCCTGCCGAGTGGCACAATGTAAAAAAGACGCATACAATTGCTGAAGAATTAAGACTCCTATGTGCTATATTTGCTAATCAATGATTGATGACACAGCAGCTAGGAAACTACGAGCTTTTCTTCTGTCCTAGAATACCGTCAGCCGGCACATTCCGGACAAGTCAAAGGACATAAATGGACTGTACCTATACAGCTCCTTTCTATCTGATCAAGATGCTCAAAGCTCTTTACAACAATCTGTGCCTCATTTATCCATTCATACAGCTCTATACTAGATCTCTACAAAGCTAATTGAACAAATCAATCTAAAGAGACTAATCAGAGCTTTATCACATTCACACACTGATGGGCCACATCGGAGGCAACGAGGGGTTCAGTGTCTTGCCCAGGGACATTTCGGCATGTGACTGCTGGTGGATTCGAACCCCCATCACTTGCATTGGAGGACGACTGCTCTAACCACTGAGCCACAGCCGCCCCGTAGAAGAGCAGCTTCATGATAAGGTGCAGGACAGCTGCCGCTCGTCCTTGCAGGTGGATGAAGCCACTGACAGCAGCAAAGACTTTTGACAGACGTCAGGTTCATAGATGGAGACGAGGGAGGAATCGCATTTCTGCAAACAAGTTTGTGGCAGAGCCAGAACTGTTTAAAATCGTCGGCTCTTACTTGAAAGAGGCCAGTCTGAAACGTGAGGGCTGCGTGGGGATCTGCAGGCTGAGAGGAGAGCGCTGCAAGTCTCCCCGAATGTGCAGTGGACGCACTGCATGACCCACGGCGAAGCTTCTAAACAGCTGAGTCCTGAACTGAACCATGTAATGACCGATGTCATGGCCACAGTCGACCACATCGAAACACGACCTGTCAAAGCCTGGATTGTTTCGGCACCGTGCGAGGCAGCTGGTCCGCTTCGCAGCGAGTCCCGATGGCCGTCGCGTGGGAAGGTGCTGGTCTTTGAGCTGCGAGGTGAGAGCCTCGTCTTTTTGAACGAGGGCAGTGACCTTGTACTGCAACAAGTTCCTCATGAAACTTGCATACCTCAGTGACAGGTTTTTGCAGATGCAGGGCACAAACGCACACCTCCCACATCTGGCAGATGAAGTCATCGTTCAGGAGGCTGCAGCGAGCGAAAGGTGGAAACGTGGACTCGTTTGAGAACTTGAAGTCGTTCACTGAAGACAACAAGCTGCAGAACTCAGGGAGCTCGTGCATGAACGCTCACATCTCTGACCGTCAGAAACATTTTTGGTGCAAGAGTCCAAAGAGTATGACTGTTCAGTGCAACACCACCTGCTGCTTCAGCACATCGGAGGAGGAACGGTGCATCGATGTCACTTCTGATCCAACAACAGTTTCAGTCAAAGACTCGTGTTGGATTGGAGTGGAGAAGATTACCACGTTGGGTAAGAGAGCCCTGGTCACACTTCACTTTGCCACATCCTACTCATGTGAGAGGCGTTTTCTGCTGTGGCCTCAATCAAGACAAAGCCCAGATCAAAGCCGGACGGTGAAAGTGAACTGAGAGTGGAAGTGTCACAGCTGCACCCAGACATCACATCTGCAGCAACAAGCAGGTTCACAGCAGCCACTGAAAAGACGTGAGGATTAAAGGTGGCATTTGCTCAACAAACCTTTTAAAAACGTTTTCCTCTCAGGGAGTTGTTCGTGTTTTTAAACCCATTTTCCGTGCGCAGAAATTTTCTTATAAACCAAAGGGGGGCCCAGCAGAACACCTTTGGGAACCACTGCTCTAGGCTGTTTACCATATTTAAATCTTGTCTATTAAACACAATTTTGAGGTTTTTATAAACAGATTTTTGTTTCTTTAGCTGTCAGACCCTCTGACGGGCTTAATATACATTTACAACTTTCATTAAATAAATCATTAAACTTGAGGGAGCGCTTGAACAACCTTAGGCTAACTCCATCACTTCAAGAATGTCTAATAAAATTAACCTAAAATCTCCACGTTTAGATGTTTGTGAAAAGCATCGCTCCCTGAAGAAGAGACTGACAGGGAGTTGGACGTTAAACCAACAACGTGGTCAGCTTTGTGTGTCTGAAGGTCCGCCTCCTCACCGCGCCGACGGGGAAGGCCAGCACGGCCATCATCCAGTCCCTCAGGCCAATCAGCTTCTTCAGCTGCCGCTCCTGCTCCCTGCTGTCGGCTCCTTTGGTCAGCAGGCTGGACACATCGATCAGGACGCACAAGCCGAAAAACACTGCCTGGATCACCTGCAGAGATGCAGAGGAAACCAGTGAGCAGCAGGTTCACAAGACGAACACGAGCATGAGTCAGACATGAGCGGAACGGTCGTTCCAACAAACGATGCCAGAGTTTGGTTCACATTGCCAGCAGTAAGTTGGACCTTCAGACTCCACCAGGGCTGCCCGTTGTCACCGGTTCTGTTCAGAACGTTTACGGACAAAATTTCTCAGCACAGCCAAAATGACAAAGACCATGAAGAATAACGTAGTATTTTAATTACACAGCAGAGAAAGCAATGTAGTCTCTGTAAGTAGGTCTAGGGGGGTATAAATATCAGTATTGGTATCAGTTATCGGTCAAATAAGTTTTAACATATTGGCATATTGGATATCGGCCAAAAATCCAATATTGTGCATCTCCACTTCCTGACTCAACCCCAGACCACTGAGCCATCACAGCCCCATTACAGAAAAGGACCATTTTAGCTAAATAGCAACAAAGTCTTATTTCTCTGTTTGTTCGTTTACTCCTTGTCCAGCTGAACTTTAATCAGTCAATATGTTGCATTAACGCCAACAGAAGACAAACAAAACTATTCTTCGTCCTGGGCCTGATTAAATCCTGCGCCGCCTCTTTCAGTAAAACCTGCTCAGATCGAGTCGACGTTTGGTGGGAAAAGAAGACGAGCTCAGTGTTTTAACCTCCGTCTTTGTGTAACGAAACACCGCCGTCGATGCGTACATTCCCAGTGATGGATGTGACCTTTCGCTGCAGCAGAACCGTTTAGAGGAGGATGCAGCTCTCCTGGTGTCTCTCTGGGAGTATAAAGTGTCGACGGCTGGACGTGAGGACGGACACTGAAGACGATTTAACTTTAAAGCTGCACGGCACAACTTTATTACAGCTTTAAAATATAATATTTGACAGTTCTTATCTATATGTGTGTGTTCCTTAACTGAAACTAATGACGGCAGCAGAACAAATCTGAAGCTGCTAAAGTATCTAAAGTACCTTTCATGCTACATAAATAACAGCTTTGTATGGAACTCTGCTAGTGCCAAGACAGTGACAACACGCTCGATCAATAATGTGTGAAACCAACAGAAAAGCTCTCGTTTCTGCCTTTCTGTCTCCAGCGCATCATCTGCAGTGTTTTATCTTGCTCATGGGAACCTCACACGTGCACGTGCACGCACACAGTATGACTGAGCCCCAGATGCTCCAAGTGTTTCCTGGCTGCCGGTGTGCAGCGCAGCTCTTTAACAGCTCAGTTAAAGCCAGGCGAGAGGTCTAATGTGGAAAATCTGACGCAGCCTTTTCTCACGCACAAATTCACCCAGCCGGGATCCTAAAGGGTCTTATTATTTTGTCTATAAAAAATATATCCCGTTAAAACTTTTATGTTTCTATTGTTACTGAATTTATACTTTGTTTCCCAAAACACGAAGTAGGTACATGCAAACTGTTTAAATCAAGGTGCATGAAATCCAGCTCTAATAAAGTCAAAACGTTTGTTGATTTTTTTTACTAAATGTTACATTGTAGATATCAAAATGTAGGTGTTTTTGTCTTTTTTCCACCCAAAGTGTCTCTAACTGATGTAGGCCTGGTTATATTTCAACAAGATGCAGGAAGTCCGATCACTCAGATGTTACTTCTCGCAGATTATTCATACTCAACAGAGAACGGTGGGGGAGAAATCCTGATAAATCCTCCCTGAGAGCCGCCCGTTGTCTCTGTTCTGTCTCCTGCGTGCACATAATTGTCTAATCTCCTTCTGCGAGTTCTTTTCTTTATGAGTCGAATTTGACTTATTTTTACTGGAACAGTTGTAATGATGGCTGTATCTTCTCACAGCCTCGGCCAGCAGCTCTTCAGCAGACGCTGCCCTGAGGGCTGCCTACAGCCCCTTTACATAAACACGCCCACAAAGTTCTGACCAATCACACGATGCCCACCACATAAACTGTCAAAAACTTGTTGACTGAGGGCAATGCACAAGACGGGGTGTCAGCAGGTGGTAAGAGTGGAAAAATATGCCATTTTTGTCACGCACCCACGTCAGTGAGACAAGAGACCGGGTCTTATGGACTATAAATCAGCCTCTATGGTTTTCTATTAAATCCTACCAGAGGGTGAGGTTCTGCTTCAAGTGGAGGAGTTCAAGTATCTTGGGGTTTTGTTCACGAGTGAGGGAAGAAGGGAGAGTGAGATTGACAGATGGATTGGTGCAGCATCTGCAGTATTGTGGACTCTGTGCTGGTCCAATGTGGTGAAGAAGGAGCTGAGCTGTAAGGCAAAGCTCTCTGTTTACCAGTCAGTCTACGTTCCTCCCCTCACCTCTGGTCATGAACTCTGGTGACTGAAAGAATGAGATCGTGGATCCAGGAGGTTGAAATGAGTTTCCTCTGCAGAGCTGGACTCTCCATTAGAGACAGGGTGAGAAGTTCAGTTATCAGGAGAGACTTGGCGTTGAACCGCTGCTCCTCCACATTGAGAGGAGCCAGTTGAGGTGGTTTGGGCATCTGGTAAGGATGCTTCTTGGGCACTTCACTAGGAAGGTGCTTTGGGCATGCACAACTGGAAGGAGACCCAGGACACACTGGAGAGACTACGTCTCTTGGTTGGTCTGGGAATGCATTGAGGTCCTCCCAGAAGAGGTGGCTGTGGAAAGAGATGTCTGGACCGCCCTGCTCAAGATGCTGCCCCTGAGACCCGAGTCCAGAACCAGAGGAAGGAAGGATGGATTGATGGATAGATGGATATGTGTTGGATGGATGAATGGATGTTAGATGAATGGATGTTGGATGGATGAATGGATGTTGGGTGATAGATAAATGTTGGATGGATGAATGGATTTTGGATGGATGAATGGACATTAGATGGATGTATGTTGGATGGATGAATGGATGTTGGATGGGTGGATGGATGAATGGATGTTGGATGGATGAATGCTGGCTGGATGAATGCTGGATGGATGGATGAATGGATGTTGGATGGATGATAGGATGTTAGATGGGTGGAAGGATGAATGGATGTTAATGGATGGATGTTAGATGGATGAATGCTGGCTGGATGGATGTTGGATGGATGGATCCCCCAGAGTACATCACACACCCAGCCTCTCATTAACTTCCAGTTTTCAGAACATTCACTTGAAATCTGCGAACGTGCAGAATCTTCAGAAAGTCCAAACGACTCTGTGTCTTTAAAAAGACGTTGGGCTGAAGCTGCACTCGCATCTTCCAGAACATGTTCGTTCTCTCGTGATACTTCAAAACAAACAACTATACCACGGGTCATTTATATATTTGAGATGAAACAAAGCGGTGCTTCTGGACGACTGTCAACAGAAACAGCTGTTTGCTGCCAAGATAAAAAACACGAACTGCGACTTTAAACCGTTTTGTGAAACGGCTGCTCTCGGCAGCGGCTCCAGGCCGACTCTGAGCTCGCCTCCGTCTGAACCGGCTCTTTGTGAGACAATCTGAGCTCCGATTGTTGGGAGTAAATGGAAGCTGTGTGCGTCCTTAATTTGATTCCACAGAAGAATCCAAAACACTGATTATACAGATGAAGCTGCCGTCTGCGGCTGCTAATCAGCTCAAACGCTGCTGTTAAAAGTGGAGTAGCAGCTAAATGTTTTCATGTGTAATTTAATTGTTTTTATTTCAGCTGAGAAACTTTTGGATGGATGAGTGCACGTGTAGAAACACAAACCAGACCGAAACAACAAATTCAGCTTCATTCTCATTATTTGCCTGCTAAAATGTTCTTTTACATTCAAACGACTTCTTCCTTGAACGTTCAAACATCAAAACCTTCAGCTGCATCAGGAACATTGTGCTGTGACTTTTAGCTTCTGTATCTTTTACACATAAAACATTTAAAATATACATTAAAAAAATCTACATATTCTTAAATATTCTCTGAAGTCTGCTGCTTTTGTCTTCTTATGCTACTTATAACTACCGTCAAGCTCATTTGAGCTTTTAGCTAAAGATTGGGTCAATTTTAGCTTTTAACAACAATTTTGCTTGTTTTAGATCAGCTGCATCCTTGTTAATTTTAGTTTTAGCAACAGTTTTGCCAATTTAAACTTTCACTATTTGCTGATTTTAGCTTTTATCAATAGTTTTGCTAATTTTAGATGACCAGCTTTGTTTTTAACTTTTAGCTACAGCTGTGCTAACTTTGTTTTAGCAACAGTTCTGCCAATTTTAGCTCTTTGATATGACGTCAGTTAGAATGTTGCGCTAATTTTAGCTTTAAACTGCATTTACTAATTTTTCCTTTAAGCTCCTGTTTTTTTTTATTTATTTTAGCTCAAAGCTATTGTTTTGCTGATTTTGGCTATTAGTAACATTTTTTGCTAATTTTAGATTTTACAAACTTTGCCATGTGTAGATTTAACTACTTTTGTGTGAATTTCAGCTATAAGCTACTGTTTTGCTCATTTTAGCTTGTAGCTAGTTTTGCCAATTTTAAAAAGGTTTTTACAGGTTTGGCTAATTATAGCTTAAGCTACCATTTGTTCATTTCAGTTTAAAGCTACTGTTTTGCTAATTTTAGCTTTTAGCAACAGTTTTGATTATTTTTGTTTTTATCAGCAGTTTTGCTAATTTTAGCTTTTAGCTAGTTTTACCAACATTTTGTTAC